ATCATCGAGATGTCTGCCCCCGCCTGCAGCGCCTCCATGAAGGCCTTTGTGCCCGACTTCGCGATCGTTCCCAAGTTGTTGATCAGATCCGCTTTAGTCATACCGATACCGGTGTCCACTATTGTCAGTGTTTTCTCGTCTTTGTTGGGAATTATTTTGATGAACAGTTCCTTCTGTGCGTCCAGTTTCGAGCCATCGGTCAGTGACTCGTATCGGATCTTATCCAACGCCTAACCAAACAAACAGACAATGCATTAGACATTCATCGAGACCCAGAGGAAGACATAAGACATGAACACATGGATACTTACATCGGAGGAGTTGGAGATGAGTTCTCTTAAGAAGATCTCTTTGTTCGAGTAGAAGGTATTGATAATCAAACTCATGAGTTGAGCGATCTCTGCCTGGAAGGCAAAGGTCTCGGCGTCCGTCTGTTCCGGCATTGCTTTCGATGATGTCTTCTGTGGTCTCAAGAAGTAGTAATCGATTGAATGGAATGAATGAAGAAGTCGTTAGTATTTGCGAAACAAATCTATTGAAAACCGTTTGAAACGAATTCAACGCGACTTTGAATGCAATTAAAGCTCGCATTCACTGAACGCTCAGTTATATAGGGTTTCAGTGTTCAAGTGATTCGCGAACTTTCCACACATTGCGCCCCAACACAGGCCTCACCACTACTCTACCGGCTTTCCACACAACTCATCCCAAACACCGATTCTCTTGTTTACCACTATTTTAATTGTATTTGATTTATTAGTTTTGATTTTGATCGCAATATAATGCTCATTAAGTCCTCAATCGTAGTGAACGCTCAGAACTATTTACCGGAAGGCGTAGGAAATGGAGGAATGGTTTGAGAGTTCGAGAAGTTTCTGGAAAAGTGTAGAAAGCATTGAATGCTTACAACAGTAAACACTATAACATTCATAGCATTCATAGCATTGACTCAATGCATGACTAATACAGGGAAGGCATGCCTTTCATACACTCATGGCTTGCATTCACTTCTTCGGCGCTCTTTAAACGCATTTCACTTGAAATGCATTCAATTGATACACATCTCAAAGGCATTACACACGAAATGAAGGCATGTTTTGGTGATCATCACTGATAAGCACTGACATGACAATCGAGACAATCACAAATGAGACAATTGATAGACAATCACCACAAATGAGACAATTGATAGACAATCACCACAAATGAGACAATTTATAGACAATCACCACAAATGAGACAATTTATAGACAAAGAGTTTTTGTTAAATATCTGTTTTATTAAGAATTGAATATTTCATAAAAATTATGATTAAATAATAGATAAAAAAGTATTTGTTGTTTGGATTAAATGGAATTGAAATCATCGGTTCTGGAAGTGGTCTG